GAATTATAACAATTCAACAGAGACTTTCAAATTTAATACTTGACTATTGACGATATTTACGCAAGCTATCTAAAAGATGTAAATAAATTCACATTAACACAATTATCTAAAATTAATAATACAAAGCATGTTCAATATAAATTACTTGTAGTAAATATATAATTAATAAACACTGAAATTATTTGTGAGATTTCTGAGTTAAAAAATTAATTAATGTCATCCTTGTAACTTAAATAATTTCAACTAAAAATAATCACCAAAATATACTATTAATATAATACAATATTACTTATGCTAAAGTGTGTAGTAAATAGCTGAGGAATTATTGAATTACGTCGATTTTAGTATAATATAAGCTTTACAATAGTAGTAAGCAAGTTTTGAACTCTTAAGCAATATAATTATTACATATAAAAAGGAAATGCAGGGGAGCAAATTAATAATGGTGAGGAAAAGAATATAAAAAGAAAACATGAAAAGTATAGAAAAACTGGACGGGGCTGGACGTTTTGACGTCGAGTTACGGATTAGGTCGTTGATGCGCGAATAACTTTGTATTTTTGTAAGACTTAATTAATTTTGTGTTAAATTTTTATGTTAAATTTGACTTTGTGTTTTTACGTTATATAAATAAAATAATTATTTAAAAATCTGTACTTGAGAGTAAATACTTTATATCCGTCATGATATTAAAATTTGTGTGTGTGCAGCAAGAGTCGAAGTTGGAAGTCCTTTAGTCGATCTTAATAATTAGTGTGCGTGATGGCTAGTTTTTTGGCTTAACCGTCCTTTAGTGGGTACAGTAAAAAGGTAGTTTTGCTGGTGGCTGACAAGGAGCCACCCTTCAGTCTGATACTTTTGAGCAGGACCGTTCTGACGGGTCTAAACTCTACCCCTTTAGTAGTTCACCAATTTAAGGTAATGGGGCTGATAAGTTTATCCAAAGGGAGGACTCGAGAAAAGATTAAACATATATATATATATATATATATATATATAT